ACAAATAAACGGAAGCAGTAATGCATGGATATTTTCAAACTCATTGACATCTATTAAGTTTGCAAATGCTCGGTAAACATGTTGAAATGCAATACCAAGTTTCTAATCAATAATTGAAATCAATACACAAAACCAGCGCCTGCTTCATTCACACACGGCACCAAATGCAATGGTATGTGCGCCGGCTTTTATACTCGAGATTAGGAACAAATATTATCCGAAAATAATTTTTTCTTACAAAATGAAAAACGCCATGGAAATTGGCTTGGGTAATATAACAATGTAGTCTGTTGGGCTCGCAATTGGTTAGCGAATTGATCATTTCGGCTTGGAAGTTTGTTGGAATTTTTTACTTGCAAGCCACTTGGCTGCGCTTTCTGTCGAAAAAAGGAAACAAAAACGGCGCGGTACTTCGACGCTTGCATTTTATTTTACTAAACAATTGTTCTCTTTAAATTTACATTTGGTCTATTAAACACCATATTCTTATACTTTCCTCGCACAACACAAGCAATTTTACAAAAAGATGGGTCAGTACTGGTTCCTCGCATGCATCGACAGACGTGAAATTACGTCTTACGACAACGGGCTCAAACTGGGCGAGACCATGCTCCAGGGCTATTGCGATATGCTTTGCAAGATGCTGGCATATAAAACCCACTTTATCCGCTCAACTCCTCTTCCTGTGACGCAGACCGTCGCGCTAAAGGACAAGAAGCTCTCTGCCATCGAGGAGCTCCCTGACTTGATCATTGACATGATTTTCTCAAATCTGACAGAGTATAGCTATATGGAAAACCCCAAATCGGTAGATACCATTCTGTGCTTTGCACTGTCGTGCCACCGTTTCTTGGACTTTGGGCGCCGCCATTTGCTTAAAGACTTTAAATTGCGTAGTCGGCCAGAAAACTGGAGTGGTCATCGGATCATTTGTGTGGGCGACTATGCAGATGATATTCCCCCGGGTTTTCTCTCCGATTATGAGTGCGAGGAGCTCGGCAATAGAACTCTTTTTGAGTTTGTTAAAACATTCGGAGGGCCATCGAGACTTTTTGCGTATACCCCAACTCGAACCTATCACCACGCAGGCAAAACCGCCTCAAAGCGCCTCATCAAGGCGCTGTTGCCCGAATTCAGGAACGTTAGTCAGCAGGACAAAGATACCGTTATTCGGAATCTGACGACCGACGAGTATATCCGCGCTGAAGCTTTCCACGCAACGCTTGATAAATTTAATCTTGAAGACATGCTGCTTTCGCGGATCGGCTGGTCGTCGGACCCTTCGGTCGCGTTGGTTAACAAAGTTGGCTTTCACCGGGGCACTTGGGCTGGTCATTGCATTGATTTGAACACGGCAGATACCGTTGACAGCACCTGGAAGGATGTGACCAAAGAATCATACGAGTGGATCAAAACCATCTACGAGGACCAGTCTGACGAATAATTCTTCATATTTCGATTTGATTTAGTATGCTATAAATGCAGATGCTAAAGCTAAAAATAGGGGTTCTAAAGCCATCAAAATGAACTGCCAATTGTCTCTCATTTTTACATTAACTGAAGTGCAAAAAAACAAACAATCAAACAAGCAAGCGTTGGCTCTTTCGTCGCCAATTTTTGAATACATCCATGAGATTTGGTAAAGTCGATATAACTTTATCAAAAACCACGTCTTTGAACTAAAAGGTAAATAAAAATTATTTTTTGAAATTTTTTGAAAAAGTATGAAAAATGCGTAAGTCCCAAATAGTATTCGCCAAAAAGCTCAAGCGCCATATTTGTGGCGATGGTATGCCAAGGGGAGCACGCTGGCAACATCTATCCAAGGCCTCTCAATGACCACCATTGTGTCGTTGTCAATAAACGACACATGCATCAAGTGTTGATAGCGCTGGGTCATGCGGAAGTTGTGCGGCACGTTGACATTGATTCCAGCCTCGCGCAGGCGTGCAGCATAAGTCGACGCCCAGTCTTTGCTCTTTGTCCAGTCCACTTCAACAACAGAGTCCTCCGCCCGGGCGTCTTTAGACTCGACCACGATGTCCATCCTGGCACTGCCATTGACAGACCCATCGACTGACTCCTCTTCCTTTTTCTTCCGCTTGATAATGTGCCGTGCGGATCTCTTGTCGGCTGCCTGCTTTTCGTCCAAGAACCGCGTGAGGATGTCCTTCTCGATATCCTTGCGCTTGTGGATGTTGAGCACGGCTCTCTTGGGACCTGGAGGGATCGACAGATCTATGCGGGTGATATGGCCGGCAGCCCAGGCGTAAACGATATTGGCCTCGGTGGGGTTTGTGACAATGCCAGAGACGCAGTCTCCAAAGTTTTCAAACGTGCGCGGGATATCTGTCGCCGAGTGCTCCTTGGTCCACTTCGTGAAGCAGGACTTGGACACGTCCCACACAAAGATCAGGTTGGACGCAGTTGTGATGACCAGGTTGCCCTTGAGGTCAAAAATTATGGCGGTCGGGAGGCTGTCCACCTTGCCCTTCTGCATCGAGGGCAGCACTGAGCTGTGTGCGCCGGTCACTGATGAGACAATGACGGTTGCGTTGGAGTCGCTGGTGGCCACAAACTTGCCATCAGCGCTCACAGCCATGTTGGTAATTGTCCGCAGCTCAACATCAGCTGGAGTCATCTTCCTAGCCTGGGCCGGGTGGGTGGGCACATTGTCACAGCCGGCATCGGTCTCGGTCTCGTCCTTGGTGCTGCGGTGGCCACAGTGGCGGCGTACGGTCTCGAAAACACCGGACTGCCACTGCGAAATGTCGACAATCGACACGAATCCATCCGTCGTCGACATGATGATGCGGCTCTCATCGCTGGTAAAGCGCATCTGGGTGACGCCGCGGTGATCAGAGTAGTCGGGCACAAAGTTGGGCGGCGGGAATTCCTTCACGCGGCGCACACGCACATGCTCACCGCTGTCGCCGGTGCGGGTAACAGAGTAGAGCTTGGGGCCCGTCGAGTCCGACGCAGCGATCAGCGCGCCGGAGGGCGAAATCGTGCTGCTGAGAATGTTCGTTTTGGTGTTCAGGTCCATGCGCAGCAGATCGCGCTGCCGCTCGTAGACTTGGAGTGCCTGGCCGGTCTCCATCGTATCGTTCATGTGCGGCGGCATGGGCTCGGACTTGCCGAGCTCCCAGATTTTGAGCGTACACCCCTCGTGCTGCAGAACGAGCTTGGACTTGGGCGCAACACTGATGATGCTGTCGACCGGCGGGAAGCACGGCTGGCGGTGTGGGTTGTCGTTGGGGAACGAGTCTGACTCGCAGGAGGCCACCTGAGTGTCAGCGCCGCCGGAGATCAGCAGGTTGTGCTTGGCGTTCGAGCTGACTGCCAGCGCGCGCACATCATGCGTGTGATAGCGGCGGAATCCCGAGAGCTGCCACTTGCGGGTCTTGTTGGGGAGGGACTTCTTCTTGGTGCTGATGGACTCGGCAGGGCTGCTTCCGATAAAGAGCTTGAACTGCGTGATCTTCGGATCGACGCCCGAGGCGAACACCGTGTGACCGGCCTTGTCGGCGGTCAGGCAAAGGACGTCGGCACCCTGTGCGCGGAAGTCCTGCAGGGAGACGTGCATGATCGGGTCCCAGAAGACAACGTGGCCGCGCGAATCGCCCGAAACAATCGTGTCGTCCTTGAGGACGGTGACGGCCCATACCAGGGTCGGGTCGCGGCCTTCCTTGGGCAGGGTCATGCGAGCGACAACATGGCCAGTGCTAGCAGTCCAGATGCGCACGGAGCTGTCTGCCGATCCGGTAACAATGGTGGAGTCATCGTGCGACCAGGCGACGGACAAAATGCGGCTGTTGATCTTGTCGAAGCAGCGCTGGTACATCAGCTTGTCGTCGGTTATGTCGAAAATGCGAATGTGACCGTCCTCCGTACCCACGGCCAGCTTAGTCTGTGCGTGATTCGTTGCCATGCACCATACCGCGCCGCCGTTCGAATCTATAATGGCCTTGGGCACCAGCTTGGCCAGATCCCACTCAATAATGACCGCGTTAAGGCCGGCTGTGAACAGACGCGGTGCGCGCTCCACAAGCCGCTTCTTGGCGGCCTCGCGCTCAACATTGGTGTCAAACAGCTCCAAGTCGTCTGCGGTCAGCTCGGTCTGGTGCGACCACGCCAGGGTCTCCACCGATCCCTTGACGACGTTGGGAATCATTTTGTCGTAAACAAGCTTTCCTTTGACACCCCAAAGCTCAATGTCACCGTTTGCCCGGCCAACGGCAATGTACTGGCGCTTGGAGGTCTCTGGTGTAAACTCAATGGCGTTTATCGCCTGTGGAACATAGTCGACAAAGCGACACCTGTGTATCTGCATGCTTTTATTTTATTTTCAGTCGCGCTATCTGGGTGGCAGCAGCGGCAAAATGGGGTGGTGGTAAAAGAAGAAATAAAAAGAAATAAAAATAAGCAAGGCCAACACGAATTCAAGGAATGCAACAACAAGAATAGACGCAAAAAAATATATGTATATAAAAGAGCAAGCAATATTTTTTTTTTCATTTTTGCTACAGCCAGAGGCGTTGAATGATTTTTTTTTCTTGTCGAAATAAGCGAAAAATTGGTAACAAAAAAATTGCGATTTGATCGGATCAGGATCAATCAGCGGATCAAGAAAGCAATTTTACACTTTAGCAAATCCCCGGAACTGCGGGGTAACCTTTGGGATTGCATTTATGCGCTTACCTTTATAGTTCGTCAAAAGTAGTGCGTTAATAGTGCATTTAACACCTTTTGCTAGAGGTAGGAAAATAGAGAAAGTGAGCTAAAATAGATCTATTGAGCGAGATATAAAGCAAAAAAACAAAGTTGACGAATAGACTAATTGTCTACCGCGCCACTTTACCCGTCATGGGCTCTATTTGACAAAATCTGCAAACCAAAACTTGCAGCTGCCTTCCCACAATACTAATGATTGCATTCGTGTCAATATAGTCTAAAAAGTTGATTTATAAGTTTTTATTTTTTATTTTTTATTATTGCTTGTTTACCATCACTTGTTTATCTTTTTGTATTATTTTCCTCAGCTGTTCAATTCCAAAACCTACTTTTCCCAAAGCACACATTTAAATTATCTCTCAACATGGCAGCACTCGTTCCCAAGGATAAGCGGCAGTTGCGGGCGTGCCTGATATGCGGCATTGTTCTCAACCACCACACGTTCCGCGATATTGGCTGCCCCAACTGCGAGTCGCTCATCAAAATGCGTGGACAGAATGACGTTGTCACGGACTGTACCAGCGGCACATTCGATGGATTGATGGCAGTGTTCCACCCGACAAAAAGCTGGGTGGCCAAGTACACGCATGTCAACATGTCCAAGCCTGGCATGTATGCGGCAAGCATCACTGGGCGGATTCCTGAGGACATTGAGGACACGCTGGCGCAGAGGGGATTTACGTACCATCCGCGCGACGGAACTGCTGAGGAGTAATTAGAGGCTTTTTATTTGGTGTGCACACTGTTTTTTATATTTTGAAGTGCGCCCTAATTTAATTGAACTTGTGGCGGTTCGAACTGGTCGGTCCAGAAAAATGCAGAAAAGTTCGTTTATTATTATTATTATTTTTGCTGCTGACGGTGGTGTTGTTAATCTCACCCCTCTCTCCTTTCTTTTGCCGCCAGAGATGGCAGTTATATTTTGGGGGTTATTTTGGATCGGCGGGTGTGCAGTGGATACAACCTTGCCAGCCCGCGCACTCCCCGCATATTTCAACAACTGCGACTGTATGCGCGCGCGTTTTCCGCCGTGTGGAGGTTGCATCATCGCCATATGGGCTTTACTCACGCGGGGCAACGTGATTGAACTTTTAAAAGAATTGTGCACGGTTGGCACTGGTCAGAAAATTCTCCATTTTTCCATTTTTCCATTTTTCCATTTTTCCATTTTATATATTTTCCACACTTTAGCTCGTATATAATTTACTTTCTACACTTATTACTCTGAAAAATGCCTCAAGTTTTAAGCACGCTGGCCAGGTTCGACTGGCAAAGAATGGCCTCTTACACAGTCAGGAATCCCAAGCAAGCGCTTATCAATATCGCCATCGCATACTTTGCCTTCCGACAGTCACTAAAGACAATTAAGAAAATATCAATCTACGGACTGCGCAGCGCATTCATGCTTCTATGGAAGCAGATATCCGGCGGCATCGTGCGGCATGTGCGCAGGGCGCCTGGCACCGGCATTGTCGTGCAGCGAAACATTGACAAGATTGTCAAAGAGATCGAGGACAGCATGACTGGCGACGTGCCCGGCGAGGCCAAGTACTTGGAAATCCCCAGCAGTGGAATGAGCGATGACGAGATAATGGCAGTACTGCGCCGGCGACAGAACGAGCGTGGCGTGGACTGGAGGAACGGCCGCGTGTCGGGTGCCGTCTACCATGGCGGCGAGGAGCTTACGCGGCTGACCAACGAGGCATACTCGCTGTTCAACCTAAGCAATCCGCTGCATCCAGGTGTTTTTCCCGGCCTGCGTCGCATTGAGGCTGAGGTCGTGCGCATGGTGCTGGACCTATACAATGCTACGGACGAGTGCTGCGGGACGACAACATCGGGTGGCACAGAGAGCATCATCATGGCCGTGCGCGCCCATGTTGTGTGGGGCCGCGAAGTGCGCGGCATTAACAACCCGAACATTGTTGTGCCGATTACAGCGCATGCAGCGTTCGACAAGGCTGCGGAGTACTTTGGCATTGGCATCACCCATGCGCCGGTCGATCCTGAGACGCAGAGCGTGGATTTGGTGGCGATGCGGCGGGCCATTGACTCCGACACCGTGCTGATCGTCGGCTCGTCAACCACGTTCCCCCATGGCGCTGCTGATGACTTGACTGCATTGAGCGCCATGGCGATCAAGTACAAGGTCGGTCTGCACGTCGACAGCTGTCTGGGCAGCTTTGTCATACCTTTCCTCAAGGAGGCTGGTTTCCCCGAAGTCATTTGCGACTTCCGTCTGCCGGGCGTCACATCCATTTCGTGCGACACGCACAAGTACGGGTTTGCGCCCAAGGGCACATCGGTGGTCATGTACAACAGAAAGCAGATGCGCCGCTACCAGTACTTCACTATATCGACCTGGCCTGGCGGCATCTACGCCTCGCCGACCATCGCTGGCTCTCGCAGTGGTGCGGTCATTGCTGGCTGCTGGGCAGCGATGACAAAGATGGGCCGCGACGGGTACTTGCAGCAGTGCAAGGATATTGTCGAATGTCGGATTGCGATCCAGCACGGCATCGAGCAGATTCCCGAGCTTTTTGTTGTCGGCAAACCAGTATCTACGGTGGTGGCATTTGGCTCAGTCGAGCCCGTGGGCATTTACGGGGTTATGGATGAGATGAAGGCGTGCGGGTGGGACCTGAGCCCGCTGCAGTACCCCGCGGCGCTGCATATTGCGTGCACGCGGCTGACGGTGCCGGTTGTGGAAGAATTTTTGCGCGATCTGCGCGACTCGGTCGGCAAGGTCAAGGCCAACCCGAATAACTACAGCAAGGGGTCGAAGGCCGTCTATGGCTTTGCTTCAACCGTCCCTGACACGACCATCGTCGACGAAGTGGCCGCCGGGTTTATCGACGCGCTGTATGCCGTGTAGTGCGGCAAATGATAAAATGAATATTTAATTTTGCTACGAAAGCTGCACTTGCAAGGTTGAGAATAAAGAAAATGTAATAAAGCATTGGTAAAATACAAAGTCCTCTTGTGGTGTATTTAATATCCGGAAAAGCCCTCGTCGTCCTCGTCCTCGTCGTCGGACTCGAGTAGCTCATCGATCTCGCGCGTCAACTCCTCGAGTCTCACCTCTTTGGCCCGCTTCATCGGGCTCTGTATCACAAAATTAGCAGGGATAGGTATCGACGACAATCCCAATCTCAAGCCAGGCAGGCTCTGTTCTTCACTGACATGGCGCTCGGACGCCTCAGATTCCGAACCAGGTGTCACACCGCACTCGTCCTCATCCCTACCATCCTCTTCCTCTTCTTCACCCTCTTCATCATCGTCGGAAAAATCGTTGTCGTTTTCACCCAGCGACGACACAAACTCAAACACCGATGCCATTTCGGGCTCCTCCAGCCACAAATCCAGCTTGATCTCATCCGCGTTCTCAACCTCCAAAAGCCTCAGCAGCGAGGCTTCGAACCGAGTCAGGGCATTGCGCGTAATCATATCGGTGACAAGCTCGTGCTGCGCCAGTGTGCGCACAAGCACAAACATCTGCTGCAGCTGGGTGTGCGGCGTTGTGTCATCGAGGCCCAGCTTGTTGAGCGCCTGTACGAGCACCTTGCGGGTAGCTGGGACCTCGACAAATGTTTTTTTGAGCGCGTCCACGGCTAGGTTCGCGTAGGTGCCTAGGCGGGTGGTTGTCCGCATGCTGCTGCTGCTGCCGTTCATCGCGCTGATGGCGTCGAGGATGCGCGGGTCGCACCAGGAGATAATCTGCTGAACCATCTGACCTTGCGTGGTGGCCCCAGCCTGCGCGTCGCCACTGCCGCCGTGCTGCTTGAGCATGTTGTCCAGGCGGCAGATCGTACTAATGGCGACCTGCTGCAGCAACGCTTGGTTCTCGTGCGACATGTAGCTGAATGCCGGGAAGAAGTACGTCAGACACTGGCGCAGCGCGTCGTTCCCGCTGGTCGATGGATCGTAGTACAACACCAGGAGCTCCTCCAGCACACTGGCCGGCTCTGGGATGCGGTGCGCATACAGAAGGCGCGCTATTCCCTCACCGGCTGTCGCCTGCGTCTTCTCATCGTCGCTCTCAAGCTCAGCGTACAAGAGATCGACAAAGTCCTTTGGCGAGCCCAGCGTGACCGACAAGTCGCTGATACCGTACATAAAGGCCAGATCAAGCAGCGCTGACAGGCCCTTTGTGTGCAGGTCGCCCTTTGTGTACTTGACAGCCTGCACAAACAGCATAACGTTGCCAACAGCCAGGTTTTTGTCCAGCAGACAGCAAAGCGCCAGACACTCGATGCCGTACTCTTGCAATACCGTATCCGTGCTTTGCACGGCGGGCACCACGCACTCAGTGAGGAGTCCATACATGGACGATCCCTCACTGAGCGCGTCAAAGCAGCGCTGCAGGATGTACTTGATGATGATCAGACTCTTGATGTTGACCAGAAGGGCCTCCATCTGTTCCCTCTCGGCGCTGCTACTGCAAATAACTGGCGCGAGCTCGCGGACGTCCGACACGACTTCAACCATGATCCGGATAAAGTCTTGCTCGTTGATGGATAGCTTGCGGATAATGTCGGCGATGGCCTCGATGTTGTTCTCGGGGATCTCCGGCACCATGATCATCTTGCGCATCAGCGTCAGCATCTCGCGGCGGCCGAGTTCGTCCGGGAAGTCAGACATCTTGGCGACGAGAAGTAGCTGATGGATGACAAACTCATAGTCCGGCCGCATCTCCTCATCGTCCTCAGACTCAAGTTTGGCGCTGAAGCTCTCAAGCAGCTGGGCCAACTTCATGACCTCGGGCAGGTGCTTGTCAATCTGGTCAACGTCCTTGCGCTCAAAGAAGAACTCGAGCGTCGAGCGGATAACGAATGCAACCTCGGGTGTCAGGTTTCCCCACAGCTCATCGTCGAATGCCAGGTTCTCGGGAATCTCAGTGTATGCCGAAAACATGGCCTGCATGACCTTGTTGGCCGCCGGGCTGTCGACCACGTCGAGCGCCGAGGTGAGTTCCAGCAGGTTCTGCCCGGAAAATGTTAGCCAGCTCTCGCCAATCATCCGCACGCACGCACGCTTGACGCCCTGATCGCGGTCATTAATACCGGCCACCAGCAGCCGCTCCCGGTCTTCAATGCTCAAAAGATGGTAGTCGATCGGCGGCATCACCTTGAGAAACAGACACTTGCGGTTTGTCGGATCCACATCGCGCGCGCGCTCGAGCACAAACGGCAGCGTGGTCGGGTTCTTTTCGATGTTTAGCAAGACCGCGCGGCGCACCTCTGCGCTCGGATCGCTGTGCATCAGGGTGATTAGCGTGTCCGTCACACTGTCCGATCCGTCCTCGTTGTCGGCTTCGCCGCTGTCCGTAGACTGCAGCTTGGTCAGTGCAATGGCCGCGTTCACTCTGATCGGTGCCTCCTTGTCGCGAATCCGCTCCGTCAGCTGCTTGATAAGATCAAAGTACAGAACCTCATCGATCGCGCCCAGGTTTGTCACCGACATGGCGACTATCTGGCAGCAGCGCATGCGTGTCATCTTCTCTTTGGCCTGGAACCCCTGCAGCAGATACTTAATCAGGAACTCGACGAATCGCGATGACACGGTGTCAGCCTCCTCCTCCTCCTCCCCAGTGTCTGCCGTAAACACATCGTCTGCGTCTGCTGAGTTTGCTTTTGCTTTGGCTAGCGCTTGCGTGTCCATCTCCTGGCTCACCTGAACAAATATGGCTACCAGTTTGACCACTTTGTCGGCGCTGGGCTCGCGCTTCTTTATGATCAGTATCTTGTTTAGGTTGCGGATAAACTCGTTGTTAAATGCAGCCTCGCCCGTCATATTCTCGGTGTCCACGTCGTGACACTGTGTCTGCAGCTTGTGCAGAGCTACTGCGTGCTTGCGGTGCCCTGTGGCGCTGCGCTGCGCCGCGTCAAAAATGCTTGGGATCGCCGAGCGCAGCGAAGATATTGTGTCTGGCCCGCCCTTGCTTTTGGAAGGCATTCTAGAGTGTGATGCTTTTTAATTTGGTGGCCGAAAATGCGGGGAGGTAAAAAAATAAAATAAAAATAAAAATTAGAAATGAAAGAAACGGTGAACATTAAAGTAAACAACAGCATTACGGCCAAATTTCGAAATAAAAAAGTGTGATTTCTTTTCAAATATTCATACAGCCTTGACTGGCTCGCTGATTGTGCGGTTCGCCGGTTCGAGTTGCACATGGCGGCTGTTCCTTTTTTGGGCGAAGAGGGATCCGCGAGCTAATTTATTTGGAACCTCATGCTTCAACGTAAACATGCATGTTTTGTATGCATGCGTGCGTGGAAAAATGAAAATCGATTGATGGCAAGGTTGCAGCCTTCTTGCTATTTGAAGTCTAGGACTTTCTGGGAGGCATGTGTTTATTTCATCGCCTTTTACTCTTTTTATTTCTCTTTGCACTTGTTCGTCTATTATTCGATTATTTTTCTACTTTTCCTTGTGTGCACAGCTCTTTTTTTCTATCCTTCGCTCGCATTCACCCTTCCCTTCCTTTCCTTAACACCATTTCCCTTTTATTGTTTATCCCACCTTTTACACCGTTTAACGAAACAGTTTTTCTTTTGTACAGAATAAAAATGGGGTTTTTCCGGAGAACTACATCAAAGTCGAAGGACGGCAGTCAGGGCGCACCGACAACGCAACGCTACCTTGATGCTGGACGCCAAGTGGCGGCAGCAGCAGCAACAACCGCGCCTAATTCCAACAAGCAGCAGAGCCACGGTTCTGACATGTACGATCAGGATGATGCCAGAAGCTACGTTAATGTCGATGGCGATGGTGCCACCTACGAGCAGGGCCGTCCATACCAGAAACATGAGCACTATTATCAAGAGCCACACAGCGTTGGCATATCCGCAATGCGTACAAAAGATGCATTCAATCGCGACGAGGAGGGCGATTTCGACGATGCCGCTAGCTACCACTCTACGTCGTCCAATCCCGGAATGGCGCGGCCGACGACAGCCGGGGCATCGGCATCAGCGCCCACAACCGCGTATTCAGGGGACACGGGCTATACTCAGACATTACCCTCGCGGTATCTACAGATGGCTACGCAGGGCCGCGGGGGCGCCAGGGGCAACAATCCAATTATTGACAGTTACTACAGCACGTTTGGCGACGACGACAACGTGGCACGGACCATGGGGCAAATGTCACTTTCTGCGAATGCCCGTCAGATGCAGCAGCAACAACAGCAGCCACAGCAGCAGTATCAACCTGCATCCCACATACAGCCTTCTCTTCCCAGCGGCGGCATGGTATCCTCGGCTGCTGTCAATGGAGGTGCCATTCGCTTGCCAGCCATGCAGACAGAGCCGAGACAAAAGTCAGAGCAGGAGCTGGGCGAAGATTACTTTCAAAAGGCCGTCAACTTCCACGAGCTAGGTGATCTAGTAAGCGCCACGGCATACTTTAAGCGGGCAGCCGACAAATACAATCCGCTGGGCATGCTGTTCTACGGCCTGTCGCTCCGCCACGGCTGGGGCTGCCAGCCGAACGAAAACCTGGCATTTGTGTTTTTGCAAAAGGCCGGCGAGCAGGTGGTACCGCACGTCAAGGACATGGATCCGGCAGTTGCGGGGATGGCCAAAGATGAGTTGGCTATGGCTATATACGAGCTGGGTCAGAGCTATCGCCATGGATGGGGTGTCTCGCAGAACAAAAAGACAGCCGCGTATTACTTTGAAGTTGCTGCGGAGCTGGGCGATGCAGACGCACAGGGCGACCTGGCTGCCTGCTATGAGAAGGGCGATGGCGTGAAACGGGATATGAAAAGAGCCGCACATTATTACCGCTTGGCCAATAAGCAGGGTATGGAGTTGTTTGGCACGTCGTGGATTTACAAGAAAAAATACGATTCGGACTAGTTATTTCTATGTATAGTTGTAGAATAAATGCTGTGAATCTTTTTAATGTTCAATTTCAACCCGTTTTCCAGCAAAATGGTTTAGTATCTTGCTGGCACTCAATGAGTCAAATCAAAGGTTGTCGGGTGAATATTTTAAATTGATTGTCATTTTTTACACGTCAAAGTCTGGCCAAAACAACACAAGTGAAAATTGCAAGCAAGTTTAGTTAATACTTTATCTAAGAATATTTGCGTGGGTAATGAAGATGTATTTGGATAATTTTTTAAGAAAATAATAAAAAGGAATTGATTATGAGGGGGAAAGGGGGAGGGGCAGAAAAATTAAAGCTATTTTTTTTAAAAAAAAATATGAGAATAAATGAATGGAGGGGGGAAGTAAACAGGTGGGTGGTCAACCCAAGTTTTGAAGACTTTGCTCGCACCCGTTCATTTCAACTTTCCATTCGCATTTTTTAAAATTTTTAAACATGTCTTTTAAGCGTTCACAAATTAGAATAGAAAACAAATTAGAATAAAATAAGCGAATAAACAAATGAAACGTGGGCATATTTAATTAAATTCGCAAACACCCAATATTTTTCAAATTTACAATTGTCGAAGCGCAATTCATTCCATAGAACAACCAGCGTGTAAAATCTTGGCTAGACATGTTTGCAGATTTTCTTTGCCCTTATAAGTATAGCTTATTGAGCAAAGACAAAAAGTAGAGACAAAGCGGCAGAGTGTACCAAGTCTTATCTTTGTCCTATAAAGTATTTACAGCAACATTTAAAAGCGGCTATCAGCATAAAGGCCAATGGGCATGGCTTCATGCTTATTAAATTATTATTTTCCAACATGACTTATAGTGCATATTATAATAAAAGCGGGTAAAGAAAAAAGTGTAGTGAAATAAACAAGTAGGCAACTTTCCATGATTTACAATTAAATATTGTACTCTTTGCTTTTCATTTCACCTTGTATTTTTCTTGTTTGGAATTGGTATAAGTATAGCTGCTCGACACATTCTCTACATAATATCTATTTACAATTATATTTTATATACACACTTCACACGCACACTCGCACACTTTCTCGTTCTCAAATAAGGTACTGGGCTACAACGCTGCTGATAAAACAATATGGTGGGGATAAATCCAAACAATAGTGAAGAACAGAACAAAGTATTCAAAAGTATAATTATTTTCCTATTGTTGCACAGACTGAAGATATGGAAGTGGATGTTGAGGTTAATCGCAAAACAGGTTTCCACCTGCGTGCCGATTGATAGGGCACTAATTGGATTATGCAGGCGTAAATTAGGGAGGCATTACATTGATGCCCAGACATGCTCCCCATTCTGCAATGCACACGCATGAGCGTACACGCACGAAAACCACAACATTGACTTGCCAAGACACCGGTCTGCTCGCAGAAGATCCAGTTCTCACCAACAGAGCGCACAATTGACAATGTGCCCAACAAAGGCGACAAGGCATATATATAAGACGAGGCCGGCCCTAGTAGCATTTTAGAAACATCAGTAATAAAACCTTTTATAAAATCACCCCTAACTTTTAACACTAGAAAATTAGTGCTCCTCACACCCCCCTCTTACTATAACAATCCTATGGTGTAGATAAAAAAATTCAGAGAAAAAATAATGAGAAAATGTGATCCACGAAATTACAGTATAGGATTTTCTAAAAAGATATTAGATGATAGACATATTCTTTGAACATTTACGAGGGAACACGATAATTAATATTTACTACAAATGATGAACAATTTGCAGTCAAATCTTTAACACAGTAATCGCTTCTATTTTTGTTATAAATAAATACTCAATCCGCCGGATTGCTGCTGCCCATTCCCCATACTCTGCCACCATCATATAAAGTGATTGTCGCAAGATGCAAGTAGGCACATTTTTTGAAGCCTAAAACACAAACTGTTTTACGTTTTTCTGTTTTATTTCAAGTTGCATCCACCCCCTTCATCTTCTGCAACAATCCAAAAGCTCTTTGAAAGAAAATGGTCAGCATCGAATCAACAGCCACCCCGGGCACATCGAGTCTGCCAGCCGCGCGCGTCAGGCGGATCATCAAAGAGGACAAGGATATTTTTGCCTGCGGATCAGACAGCCTGTTCCTCATATCGCGTGCCACTGAGTATTTCATCGATAGTTTGGTACGCGAAAGCTACGAGTTCTCTCGCCTCGACAAGCGCAAGACTGTGCAATACAAGGACATGGCCAAGGCCGTCCAGAGCATTGAGCAATATGATTTTCTGACGGATATAATCCCGCCAACAGTCAGCTTGAAGAAAAACACAAACTG